GGTCGGACTCACATGCCCTAGAAGAGTCACTTACAGGTTGTTCCAGTTTTCCTTGTGGTCAGGGCCTTAGGGCCCTTCAATAATTTGTTCCCTGGCAGAATCAGCTGGTTTGTGAAGTACTTTTCTAGTTGTTCTAGGCCAGAAAAAAAAAAAATTTCCTCCTGAAATTCTTCGCTTAGACCAAGTGCTAAAAAAGGACTGGAATCGGCTGTGCCCTTGACTTCAAGGCCACATCACAGACATACGAGACATTATTTTTCCTTTTCTTCTCATGCTTTTCAAAGGAGGCCTCATAATGTTTAATTGCTCATCTATCAGCAGGTGATATCTTCCATATAGTCTAAAACGCTTATGTATTTTTTCCCCAGTAGTCTTTCATTGCTCAAAATATTCCTTTTACTTCTTTACATTTGGATCAGAAGGTTGACCGAAGTGATCACTTTGGTGTTCAGAAATAACTAATAATAAAACAGCTACCAGGGGCAGGTGTTTCACATCCTGATTCGGATGCTACTTGGGAGGTCCCTATCTCCTATCGCTGAGCCTAAGTTTGAGTCCCAGCATAGCATCTGATCGCAACTTTCAGTTAGTGAGCACAGTAGGGTGGCAGCAGGTGCCAGCTGAGGGATTTGTCTTTCTGTGACTTACAGGGGAGATCTGGACTGAGTGCCAGGCTCCTTGTTTCTACCTGGCCCACCCCTGGGTGTTGTGGGCATTTGGGGAGTGGACCAGAGAATCAGAGGTATCTCTGCCTGTTTCTGAGGGTGTCTTAAATAAAAATAAAGCTGATAATTCAATGTTTGAAAATGATAAAAAAAAAAAAGGATTAGCAATATTTACTTAACACTGAAGGACAGCTAAAATGTTAAGTACTTAAATGGCATTAGCTTCTTTCATCAGGTGGAAATAACCCTTTACATGAACACTGCACCTTTTATCAATAAGGAAAATAAGATTCTAGGAAAGTAATTTGAGCCCACACAAACTGTATGAGGCGTCTGGCTTAATAGCAAGCCCTTTGCACTCAGTAGCTTGTTTTGTATTAAATTCTTCTTCTTTTTTTCTTTTGTAATGACTCTTCTTGGCAGTCCAAGCTAGTCCCCAATTTAAAAGGCAATGGAAATATTTTCCCTGTTTCTGTCTGGATTTCTGTCTTTTCCTTTATGACACCTGGACAGGTGCAGTGTGCATTTCCATCCCTGGACTCCAGTATGTTAAGGTTTTTGACTTGTGACATGAATAACAAGCAACAGATTGGTCTCCCATTGAGGCAGAAGCCCTTGATCTTGGCCTGATGTGATTTGTGTCATCTGCCTTCGGCTGTTAGAATACAGAAGGAGAATGCCGAGTTCTGGGCTGGGCTGCAGCATGGTACAATCTGTGTGACTGAAGAGCAAATCTCACCTTGCTTGCTGGTAGAAATTAAGTTCAGATTCCAACACAGTTTACATTTGAGTGGAGAGCCTTGGGTTGCTTCAACAGTCTAAAGGTCTCTTTTCTTTCTCACCCCAGTCAAATAGTATTGAAAAGATGATGAAGCCAAGCTGTTTTCCCACCGTGACCCTCAGTTTCTTCATCTGTCTATAGAAGACAGCGTGGATTAGGTCTTCATTTCAAATCTAAATCTCAGCTGCTAAAGAGAAAAGCATGCTCTACTCTGTGCAGTTCTGGCTAAGACAGTATTGCAAGGAAACCAACCAGGGCTAGTCTAGGCCAGGAAGGGCATTTGTTGTAGGGATATTTATGCAGCTCATGAAATTTCAGAGGAATTAAACAAGCAGACACAGAGAGATACAGACCAGGAGAGCCTCAGGGATCACTTCGGCATTCAGGAACATTCTCCCTGGAATGCTCGCCATTAAGAAGACTCCCAAAAGAGCTCTTACATATATTTCTCTGTTAAAAATGACAAATTCCAGGAAAAGAAGGAACTGCCACAGGGCCATTTAACTATGTGGCCTCAGCTGGTGCTGCGTAGGCCAATAACAAAAAATGTGACTAGAGGCCACTTTTCTGGGTTGGGTAGGTGGTGCCTGTGATCAGAACACCCTCCCCATATACACACGCAAACAAGGAAACCTAAGGAGCCCATATGTATCTAAATGTGTGGGCAGCCGTGTCTGAGTATTGGGTGTGGATGGGAGAGAATAGGCAGCATGGATACAGGAGCTCTTGAAAAGTTCATAAAACATGACTGTTATGAGATCTCTGTGCCTCGATTTCAGACTTCTTTTGCACAAAAAGAAGCTTCCTTTTGTTTGGAAAAGATATATATATATCTATCTATATATATATATATATATATATATATATAGAGAGAGAGAGAGAGAGAGAGAGAGAAACACCTCCACTGGTTCACTGCAAATACTCAAAATACTCAGAACATCAGAACAGACAGGGCTGGGCCAGGCTAAAGCCAGAGCAGGGAACTCAGTTGAGATTTCCCATGTGAATGGAAGAGGTGTAACTGGTTGAACCACCACCTGCTGCCTCCCAGGGTGTGCATTAGCAGGAAGCTGGAACCAGGAGTGAGCTTGAACAGGAAGCCAGGAACTTCACTAGGGATTCCAACCAGGGCCTTGACTGCTAGGCCACACATCAGTTTCATAAATGTATCTGTAAAATGTATTTTCCCAAGCTCTTTTTTATAATTGACTATTCCTGCTTTAGAACAGTAACATCTTTTGTGACCTGGTGCATTAAACATTTTCAGGCAACAGTGAGCAGGTAGGGGAATAAGAAAAGAATTTCTGGGCTAAGAGCTTGAGGAAGGACCACTTGTTAGTTAGAGCCAGTGACCACTGAGAACAAAGCAAAATGAACAGCACCATCTCACCTCATAGGGAAAACCATTGCTGTGTCAAAATCCTGTCCTCTCAAATATAAAATGCGACTCTGGGTCTTGTCTTTTCCATTGTGATGACATTTGAGCAAGTTTCAACATCTTGAGCTTTTTCTGTTTTCTAAGTGGGGATAATAACAATAACTATATTGTTGTCCTTTATGCGTCCTTCAGCAGTCCTTCAGCACAGTACCATGAGAGTCTGCATTTTGCAGATGAGAAATTAAAATGTGCAGAAATCAGAGAGGCACTGGAAAACAGAATGAGATGAGTTGCAAACAGATGGAAATGATGAATTCCAGGTTCTTATCCTGGCCTTGATATTTCCTGGTTTGGGGCCCTAAGATAGCTTCAGTTTCATTAATCTGTAAAATGGGCACTACCTCAGTCCAAAGTCAGGAGCCAGGAGCTTCGTTTTGGTTTCCCACACAGGTGCAGTGGAACAGTGTCTTGGGCCATCTTTTGCTGCTTCCTCAGGCACATTGGCAGGAGGGGCCAAATTGGAAATGTAGCATCCAGGACTTGAACTAGCACCCATATGGGATGCTTGCACTGCAGACAGAGGCTTAACTTAGTATGCCCTGGCACCAACCCAAATTAATAAATATTTAAAAGAAATAGAGAGCAGAGAGAAAATGAATAAAGGAAGTTGAGGCATGAGGCTACCTCATGAGTATTGGCTCCTCCTACGGGGTCATCTCTATGACCTGGAAGCCGATTCCCAGATGTTCAGCACCTACAGAGATGTTCTTCAGGGCTTTCCCTTAGGCTTCGTGCTTCCAAAGGGCTTGAGAGAAGAGTTAAGACAAGAAGGAGAGGAGCAAACAGTGATAAAGACAGGAAGAAAGCACTGGAGGGAGTGGGTAGGGATATGGGAAGAAGAAGGGGAAGCTGTGGATGCCACGGACCAAGACAGCCCAAGACAGCCGGAGCAGGCAGGCAGGCATACTGCTGAAGGTACCTGGAAGGCAGATAACTTGGGAGGCTTGTCTGGGGGGTGGGGAGCACCTGTCCCGCAGCTTGGCCCCAGAGGTGGTGAGCAGGTGAGGCTGTGACAGGGAGCACTCTCTTTACAGGAGCCAGAGATAGGGGTGCTCGGTTGTGTTTCACAATGGATACGGCAACTTAGGCTGTGGATGTGTCATGGCTGGTTATAAAAGCTTGCTTGGAGAAGCTTTGGGCTGAACAACACTTTTAAGCCTGGTTCAAAGGGGTTGATAAGCATCAGGGGCCTGATTTTCCAGGAGGGGATGATTTCTCAACAATTTACATGTGTCTGAAGGACTTCAGAAAGTGTGTGGGAAAATGGGATTAAAAGATAAGTTTATTTCGATGCATAAAATTTTGAAATTCATGCATAGTGATTTCATAATAAACATTCTCCATGCACTTTTTTGAAGAGCATTTGGATGCATGGATTTTAAACACATTTTGCATGAAAATAAACTTATCTCTTAATGTCATTTTCCATGAGCTTCTTGAAGTACCCTCGTGTATGAACTGAAAGGCTCTGGCAGGATACATGAGTACATGTTGACAATAGCTGATCTCTCTGACTGCAGTCATGAGGCGTCTCATTTCCCAAGTTATGCATTTCTGTTACATTTAGGTTTCTTACAGTGACATCTCAGAGTCTTTGCAATCAGTGAGACCAGAATGGTTTGCATTAGGTGATAAGCTCAGCCCTAAAGTGGAATGGCAGGTAAAATCACGGGGCCCTGATGTACAGCGGACACCGTCTGCATCTGACAAGCAGGTGGGCACTAAGGAGCCGGGCCCAGATACTTTGAAAATCTGATGATTGCAATCTCTCCTCTGATTCTTGCAGGAGGGTGAAATTATTAATGTCCTCTTACCTCAGACAAGTTTCCTTCCCTTGAGGTTCTTTAGGATTTAAAAGGCAGGTGGGAGAGGGCAGGTGCGCTCTGCTCCACTGCTGGACGTTGCTGTTCAGGAGGATGCAGGCAGAGGATTTTTCCCCTGAGGGAATTAGGCATGCAGTCGCTGCATTGTCAACCCTGCTGCTTCCTGGAAACTCCATGTTTTTAACCCACCCCGCTGGGGCTTCTAAGTTTAAATAAAGAATTGTAGCTGGTATGCTCTTGCAGTAGTGTCGCCTGACTGGCTTGAGAAATCATTCAAATGTGTCTTCTTCCAGGCTTTATGAAGGCAAGGAACAGATGGAGTTTGAAGAATCCATGAGACGGCTCTTTGAGTCCATCAACAACTTGATGAAAAGCCAATATAAGACCACTATCCTTCTGCAGGTTGGTTGTTTATGCTAACACACACACACACACACACACACTCTGCCTTGTCCCTTGGACATCTGATAAATACCGGCATGCTGAGATAATGTCTGCTTCTGCTTAGTTATGCAGCTTTGTGTTCCTGAAAGGTCTGAGCTGGGTTTGTGGTTCAAGGCTCATGAGGACTGGGGCAGGAGAAAGCATATTTATGGTTTCTTTCCTGTGAAGATAGCAGTACCCTCTTTAAAAATAGTGTTAGGGCTTTTGTTAGCTGGCAAGAAATAAGTCAAACTTGATCCACACCTAAGGGTAATAGAAGTAGTAAAGGTAGCAGTCTCGTAAATTGCAGCTCTGGTAGTCCACTCTTTTTCCTCAGCCCCATAAACTCAGATCTTACATCTTTTTTTGACCAAGCCTCAAAACCTTCACAGGACCCTTCTGAGCATAGGAGGAGGTATACACAAATAAAGAGAACCCACACACCTCTAGTTCATGAGATGATGCAGGCTGCTTCTGCTGTTTCTTTTGATCAGCACTAGCCTGTTAGTTGTCAGTTTACATACCCATTCTGCCCAGGATTGCTCAGCCTCTGCTTAGCATGAAGGAAGTGCTGGAGTTCAAGTAGGCTGGAGTTAGGGTGGCAGAGCAGAAGTCTGTCTGTCTAGGGAGTGTTTCTTGCTAATGTTACAGGTTCCAAACCTTGTACTTTAGAGGTATTCGGGAGTCTTCAATACTTTAGGATGCTTGGTTACCACGTGTAGGCTTTGCAGTGTAACAGCTGGGGAGGATAACTGGGCTAAGGGAATTTTAAAACATCTCTTCTTGAGGTGATTTTCAATGTGAAGCCAAGTTTGAGAGCCCTTTTGCTGCTGGCTTTCTTTGATTTAGCCGATAGTGGGAAGCATATGTGTGCAGAATGTGTGCATAGGAAGAAAAGGGTTTGTTCATCAGTGTCCTCAGCACCTACAACAATCCTAACACATAATGGATGATTTCATAGATAAGGAAGCTGAAGTTCGCAGAGCTGATCTGGTTTTCTCAAGGCCAGGCAGTGTTAAGGCTGGAGTTTACTTCTCTACCTGCCAGAATCTCAAGATCATGCTGGCAACCACAACATTGCATTCCGCTTGATCCTACCCATGGGCACCTGCTGGAGCTCTGGGGCTTTTCCCTGGGATTGTTTGGGACAGCAGAGTCACAGTTTCACCTTCCCTTCCTTCTTGGTGGTTTCTTAGATACTTCTGATGTTCCTACAACTGTCTTCATTCTGTAACACAGGCATATCGGGAGCAGGGGCAGCATGAAATGTGGCTTGTCACACCACCTGTATCTTGTCAAAGACAGCTGAGCTTCCTTGCAGGGAGAGGCGATACCCCAAGAGGGGTCCAGGGAGAACTGAGAGTACAGTGGGCCGTGTGAGGGATTGTAGGGCCACGTCAGGTCTGAAGCAGACTCCAGGGACATGGCATTGATGAATACATGAGTGTAGTTGGTGGGAAGGAAAAAGGAGCAGTTGCTCCGGGAGAGGGAGAGAAGAAGGTGAGCTAGCCCAGAGTTTCTCCTTCCAGTTCGGCACTTGTTTCCCTAGGCTAAACCACATGCATATTGGTGGAAGGAAGCAAGAACCAGGGGGAAGAAGGGAGAGAAACGAAAGGAGGAGGGGTAAAGCATAGAAGCAAGAAAGTAAAGATGAGAACGTCAACATTGACAGTCCTGGGGAGCCCCGGGTCTTGTAGAATGTACTTGAATATTCTCCTGAGCACCTGATGACCTTGAACCAACAGTTCAATGACTCCATGTCTCAGTTTCCTCATCTATAAGACCTCAGTGTTCGGGGGAGGATCAAAGAAACTTTGTTTGCAAAAGAGCAAATTATAAAATGTTAAGCAAACACAGAGAACTAAGATGATTATTACGGCTTATACCTAAGTCTTTTACCCAGCTGCTTATTGTCTGAGTAACTGTGCTAGAAATGCCTCACAGTGCCTGCATTTTGGGTCAGATTATGTCGGTTTCTTTTCCGCACCCCCACACCTTAAAGCTGTAGAAAGGGGCTTCATCTCTCTTTAAATTGCTGTAAAAACCAAATTTAGCTCCTGGGATTTGCATAAAAACTAATGATGTGTTCTACTTACTAACATGGTTGTTGTAAAGTTATCAAAAAGGAATTGAAGTCATATTCAAATGGCAAGAGCAGGACTCTTTGAAGAGAATGTAATGCCTTTTGAGGGGAGAGGAATGGACTAATAAGACAAGAGGGATTTAGGCCATGTGATGTCAGCAAAATTTTCAATAGGCTTCGGCATTTGCTATAGGAGTAAGCACTCTGTCTTTTAGTCAGGGAGAGGAGAAAAGTGCTCATCCATTCATGGGAAGGTAACCTTAGGGACACCATTTTGGTTTGCGAGGTCTTGGTTTATAAAAGGGGAAAAGCAATGTCTGAAGATTTCAGAGGATCAAATAAAATAAGTCAATAGGAAGTGTCGGTCCCATAATGTAAATTAGTTTAAATAACATTTAGTCATTTATGCCACTACATCCCCTACTGTATCTTAAGTAGAAGCTTTTCAGGCATTTTATTAGAGCAGCAGAAGCTGGAAGCGGGTGGGTATATGTGTTTCTAACCTTATCACATGAGGCCAGGTAGTAAGAGGACTTTTAATTGTTTATTACATTAAGGCAATCAAGGAAGAAAAAAAAAAAACTCACAAGAACTGACTAGGAAAAAAGAAATAGATGGCAAAGTTTGGCTAGTGCCATGGTACACAGGGACAGGTTTGAGCTCCACCTGCATGGAATACAGTGGGGAGAGTGCTACAGTGGGCGAGGTGTCGGCTCTAAGTGCTGGTTAGGAGCACACCTAATGTACTCCAGGAACCCCTTACTTGTGCTGCCTTAGTTCCTAGTAGAGTAGATCTGCTTCAGATCTCAGCTTTGTCCATTGGGTGTTCTGAGACTGAAGCATGTTATTTCCCATTTCTAAGGCTCATCTGGCTTTAGCGAATTGCTTTCTGGGGTTTTCCTTAATGTTCTGAGTTGCATAGCAACAGGTCTCCCAAACCACGTAAAGTGCAAATCCAATAGTTCAAAGAGGATGGGAAGGGGAGTAAAAGCTTAAAGTCTGAGATATTTTATAATGCCCCAATTTGATGGAATTAAATAAACATATGGTGTTTAATGATGTGCCCCTTTGGTCACTACCATTGCCTATCTTGCTAATAGTGTCACTCGTGTATCAATAGAGGTAAAGGCCCACGACTTTTATTTGCCCAATGTCTAGAATAGTACAGAAAATTCTTGAACATGTATTGGCTGAATAATTAAAGAATGAGTACTAGGTTCTGCCATTTTTTGTTGTTGTATGTTTTAGCGTTTATTAAATATGAAGCGTTGAGTTAAATGGTTCACATACATTGTGAGCTCAGTTGAGCTCTGTAACAACTTTGTAAGGCAACTCTTCTTATCTCTCCTTTACAGAAGAAGGAAAGGGAGCTTAGAGGGGTTGAGTAACCTCACCCTAGCTGAAACGTATTGGATTTTGGATTTGAATTGAGTTCAAACTCTGAATTCTTCATCAGTATAAAACAATAGTGCAATTTCATTAAAAGACTCTCATCTTCTGGAAAAGAGCCAGGTAGATGAGTGTTCAACAATAGTAAGCAATGGGGAGGACAGGCAGGTGTTTGGCCCATGGTCATGAACATGAGCTAATTAAGGATGCCTCTTCCTTCCCTCTCTCTTCTCTGCAATTGATATATAAATGTTTAAATGTCTGAGCTGAGAGGGAAAACGTGCCCTGTTCTGGAGAAGTGGCCCACAGTCTATATGCTTAGAGGTAGGGAAGAAGAAAACTCAATGTATAGCAGAAGGAGTTGGGAGTTTGCCCCAAACCTTTGAGTGATTAGGTAATTCTTTTATATATATATATATTCTTTTATATATATATATAATATATTCTTTATATTATTCTAATATATATAATATATTCTTTTTATATATATATAATTCTTTTATATATATATATTTATTTATATATATATATATATATATTTATTTATTTATTTATTGAAAGGCAGATATACAGAGAGGAGGAGAGACAGAGAGGAAGATCTTCCGTCCAATGATTCACTCCCCAAGTGGCCGCAACAGCCGGTGCTGTGCCGATCCGAAGCCAGGAGCTAGGAACCTCCTCCAGGTCTCCCACATGGGTGCAGGGTCCCAAGGCTTTGGGCTGTCCTCGACTGCTTTCCCAGGCCACAAGCAGGGAGCTGGATGGGAAGTGGAGCTGTCGAGATTAGAACTGGCGCCCATATGGGATCCTGGCACATTCAAGGCGAGGACTTTAACTGCTATGCTATCACGCCGCCCCCCATCCCTGTTTTTAAAGCTTATGTTTAACATTTAATAATTTCATGTATGTCTTCAAAACAAGATGATGTTTTGGTAAATGTACACACTGTGATGATCAAAATAGCATATCTGTCACCTTAAACATTCACCATTACTTTTGTGGTTTCTGTTTTAAAACCTTGCAAGTAATGTCTCATTATATTTATGTATTTAGGTATATCTTAATTATGATTTGTACATGTATTCTTTTGTCCAGATACTGGGGATGAGGGAGGGTGCTGGAGAGATGAGATGACAGGTGATTTAATGTTCATATTCTACAGCACCTATTGTGTGCTGGGCCTCACAGTGGATACTCTATTTCTTTCTCTTTTATCCTCCATGCAGATGCAGAGGCTCAGAGGGTAAAGTCCGGTGCCTAGGCCCAGGCAGGTCTAGGTGGAGAACCCAGTTCATATGTAGATTACTCTTTGCTCAATGTCATTTGGCTTAATGCTTAATGAAAACACAGTTTTCCAGGAGTACGTGGTCTTGCAAGCTTCAGGACATGTAGCTATGGGTCTGTTTAGATTGCAGAGGTTGTAATCAGGGAGCCCATGCTGGAAAGGTGATCTAGAGTTGTGTTTGACTTGGATAGCGCAGAGTTAAAACAACTGAACAAGAACGACTCATTCCTCAGATGGATGACCCTAAAATCCTCCATTTCACTCCTTTCTCTTGTGTGGCCAACATTGCAGTTGCCTAATTTTTGCTGCATCTGTTTTGCATTTCCTGATAAAGATAGTCCTTGAACAACTAGGTTGGAATGTACTGTGGATGGTAACTGCCTAGAGGAAGGGCACAGTGTTTCACAGCATATTAAAGTTCTGAAAAGTTCTGTAGTTTAAAAAAAAAATCTCATTGTTTGCATAAACCAGTGTTTCTGAAAATGATTTGATTTCAAATTCCCTTTACCCAATAAAACACCTAATATTGTCCTTTAGGACAAGAGTGCCCAAAGGAACATAGCTTTAGAAATTCTGGTGTTAGAATCCTCTTTTTTCATGCAGATCTGAAAGAATGAAGAACAGCTCTCTAGATACAAAAATCCAATAACTGTAAAGTCAAACAATTTTGACAACATGTAAATTAAAATCTTCCCATGCAATGAAAGACATTATAAACAAAGGTACACAGACAAGAAAGAGACAATCCTTGAGAAATATGTTTTGGCCAAAGGTTAATATTAATAATGCACGAAGGATTCCTTAAGCCAATAAGGAAAAAAAAAAGACTAAAAAAAAAGGAAAAATTATATGAATGAGCTTAGTAAATATCAGTGTCTGATAATTATAGAATCCATGAATACCTGCACTAGCAATATCAAGTCATGAACATCAAATGGACAAAATTGAAAAGGTAGTGAATCTCAGGGTGGGCATGTGGAACAGTGGTTAACTTGCCCCTTGGGATGCTGGCATCCTGTATCAGAGCATCTAGTTTACATTCCGATTACTCTGCTTCTTATCCAGCTTCTTTCTGAATCATACTCTGGAAGGCAGCAGCGATGCCACACAAGTTGTTGGATCCCTGCCACCTGTGTGGAAAATCCGGCTTGAGTTCTAAAAGCCTGGCTTTAGCCTGGCCAAGTCAAGGCTGTTGCAGGCAACTGGGAACCAGTAGATGGAAGAGCTCCTTATCTCTGTTTCTCTTCCCTTCAAATACAAATGAAAGCAATTAAGTAAAGCATTTTTAAGGTTAAAACTATAGAACTCTTCAACAATGTTGTGTATCTATCTAGTACTAGCAAGGTTATCGCAAAAAGGAGCTGTTAGTAAAAGGAATTTGTTGCTTCTTTTAAGATAATTTGAAAATATCTTTAAAATTTCATGGATATTTTGGTAAGCTATCTCTTTAAAAACTGTATCTTACATAGATCCTTACATGTATACAGACATATATGCTAAATATTTTCTTACTACAGCCCTTGTAATAAACAGGCGCTGTACACATTTAGGCCTTGCTGGATAGGGTGACACAGAAAGAATACACTCTGTGAAGTGGCATGCCAAAATTCCACTGTCATGTTGGCTGAGTGTACACAGCAAGTTGCAGAACTGTGTATACACACACACACACACACGCACACGCACACACACACACACACACACGTGTTCTTGTAAAGAAAGAAGTCCAGAAGGGAAGTTAGTGGACTGCATCCTTAACATTGGTCCCTCCCTTGTGAGAAGAGACATTGGGGCTGAGATGAGAATGTGGGACTTCAGGGGTGATACCTTGTCTAGTGTGAAATCTTTTTTTTTTTTCTTATCAAACATAATAGTTCTGACCCTTTAAAAATAATGAAAAACCATTAAAAAAGAAGAATGAGCCCAAAGAAAGACAGTGTCTGTGTAAGGGGCCATATAGCTTGAGGGCTTCAAGAAGTGTTTGTAAACGTAACCTCACTGAGTTTGAACCGAATCTCTCCTCTCCCAAACTTGAGATGGCCTGGAGATAGTTATTTATTTTTGAATGTACCAGAAATTTATTTATCTATGAAAAGAATATTTCCCTTGCAGGCCTGTAATTAACAAGATAATCTATTAACAGTGTTTAGCATGGTGTCTACTCTGTTGTAAATTCTCGGAGAAAAGTCATAGTAATTACTTATGGAAAGAAGCTCAGCTCTGTGTGCCTAGAAGTAATATTTTTCTTTAAGAAAGTAATTTTCATGTCAGGCATTTCACCTGGCACTTAAAGACCCCCCGCATTTTTATTGGAGTAACTGGGTTTGATGTTATGCCCCAATTCCCAACCCCAGCTTCCTGCCACTGAGTTCCTGGATTATGTTTCTTGCTCCACCTATTGGCCTTGCACCTGGCTGTTGAGTGTATTTGGGAAGTCAGGTAATTGATGGGCGCATTTGGCTGACTGTCCTTCTTTCTCACGATCTCTCTTTTTCTTTTCTTTCAAATTAAGCAAGTAATTTAAAATGTGCATATTCTGTGTGCTACTGCTGGAAATTGTGACTTCTTTTATATCCAATGAATTTCAGTCTATAAACATAGTGGCTTCAGTCTAGAAGTGTCCCAGAAACGGAGTCATCTTCCCCTACCCATATCATGTTGCAGAGCAGCCTTGCTAGCCCAGAGTTGTTGCATGTGGCCATCACTCATGTTTATTTCATCTTCCACCCAGGTGGCGGCTTTGAAATATATCCCATCTGTCCTCCATGATGTGGAAACCGTCTTTGATGCAAAGTTACTCAGGTGAGAGTTTATGATGTGCTTGCCTGGGCTCTGTGGCAAAACAAGGATTTGTAGGGAAAGGAGGGCTGTTTTAGGGTGTTCCAGATGAGCTCTCAGTTCAGGGATAAGGCGGACACACGGCAGGAGCCTCATTTGGGGATTCCACTGCAGAATTTTTGCCTATTGGTTTTGTTGGGCTCGACTTTGACCAAAAACCCAGTAGCTTACAAGCATCTTTACTTGAGGATGTAGAATTTCAAAATGTGTATATTAAAAAATGATGTCTGATGCAAAACATCTCTCTTTCACCTGAGCTGAAAGATTGTTTGGGGTTCTAGTCTTTGTCGCATAAGACCTTGCGGTTACAAATGGAGAATAAACAAGAATGTTTCAATAGATGATAGATGATTTTGCATCCTTGTTATTTATTTATTTGTTCATTTTGAAGGCATAGAAGGGCAGACAAGCCGAGATCTCATATCTGCAGGTGCACTCAACCAGATACTTGCAACACCTAGGACTGGGCCAGGCTCTAAAGAAGTACCACTTGGAACCAAATCTGTTCACATTGTGTCCACACTTCTTTGAACCGTGCCCATCAGATACTAAGCATGTGCTTAATATGTACTTTGAAGCATTAATAAATGCATGAACGCATTCTGCAATACTGACAGGTTTTTTTTGTTTGTTTCAGGGTTCTTTTTAAACTTCATTCTATTCAAGTGGGAGAGCTTTCTCTTTCTTGATGTCTCAAACTGCTTCTATCCCACAACTCTCTCATGCTTTTTTACACTGAAAGACTTTTTTTTTTTAAATCTGAAAATTTTATTATAACAGTACCAGGCATGGAACATTTGTAAATGAAGTCAGAATCTGGTTTTAAATGCTTGGAAGTTTGACTCCCTATCTTTATGACCTTAAGAAATTAATTAACCTTTCTAAACCTTAGTGTTCTCACCTATAAAACCAGAGTAAGTATTCTGTGTAACCCTTAGAGTTGGTTTAAATGGCACAGTGAATGTAAAATGCAAAGCATGTGTCTGATACACTCAGGGTTATTGATGTTTTTTCACATCTCTTTTTCATGCTGTTAATATTCAACACAAGCTACTGACATGCATTTCCTGGAGAGTTACTGTGCATCTCATGCTCTGCCAGGAATTGGGGGGTCCAAAGGGATTGACAGCTGTGCTGTTTCTGTCTCTAAATGACAGCTAAGTGACTGCAAGATTCTGCTTTTTCTGCCTGCAGCCAACTCCTCTATGAGTTCTACACATGCATTCCTCCAGTCAAACTCCAGAAGCAGAAAGTGCAGTCCATGAATGAGATCGTCCAGAGCAACCTTTTTAAAAAGCAAGGTAAATGTTGAGCGTTCCTGGCAGGTGTGTGATGCCATGAACCACACATGCTGGTCAGGCGGCTGGGCAAGAGAGAGCACTACTTGCCCAGGTATTCTTTGATAAGTCGCTCAGTCTGTTCAAGTGTAGAAAATAGAAAGTAAATGACAATATAGGCACCAAGATATAAAGTGATTTTAGAGAAGCCTAAGGTGCATTGTTTATTTCTCTTAAGAATATTTCACCCAGTGGTAAATTTGGAGCCGTAGGCTTTAAGTCATTGTGGTATATGATTTTTGTCTCTAATGTATTATCCTTAAGTCAAGGGGAAGCAAGTGAAATTCCTTTAGTTGAAAGAACCACCGATGGGGAAGTTCCCCAGATTTCAAGTGTGTAGAATAAATGGGAGAGCTCGTTACAATTGGAATCCATCTCAGAGATTCCAGTTGAGTAGAATTAGGTTAGCTTTTAGAGAAAAATATAGATTGTTTCTGAGTAAGTATTGCATTTACATGGCTTCAAATACAGCGGTGTGGAAGGGTGTCCCCTAAAAAGGGTGCCCCAGACCCTGAGTGTGCCACTTCCATCGTCAGAGTTGACCAGTGTGTCCACTTCATGGAGGCACATGCTGCAGATGACCATCAAAGACAAGTATACTACTGGCCTTTTATTATCACTCAAGTGGTAGCACATTATGTGATTTCTCTGCACTTGGCTTTTCTTTATATATTGTGTATATTTTTGAAGCTCAGAGAATGACAATGAATTTGGAAAGAGCTTCTGCTGCTCCTAAGCTGGTAACCAGTAGATACTGTGATAACTCAGCCACTGCCAAGGGACTCAGGGTCTCTTGAGGTGAATAAGCTAGATGCCCATTGATTTTCCAGATACGCACAGCATGATTTAGACGTCTGTTCATCCTCTACTTCATCTTAAGTAATATTCTGTATTCGTGGATCCAGCCAAATGAATCGTGCCTTTTGTTCAATATAACTGCACTGGATCTTGCAATACAGATCTTGCATTTTGTACCACATCCCCGCATTGCTGATTCAAAAAAAACTCTACATTCCTTCATTCCTTTCTTCCTCTCTGTAACAGAAAGAAATGACTTCAGGGTAAACATTGTTTTCTGTGCCCTAAAGATGAGCTCTAGGGAATTTAAATTCTTCTGTCCACAGCGATGTCAGCAATACAATGAGAAACAAACTATGCAAGTAAGTAGAGGTTCTAGAATTCAGAGCATTAGCCATCATTCAACTGGAATTTATTCAGAGTGAAGCCTGAATATTTATGCAAATTGCCTGGTAATCACAGAAATATTCAGGAACCACTTCACTGTGAAGGTTTTTTTCCCAATGCCTGGTTAACGTGGTGCATCCAGAATTGCACTCTGAATTCTATTCCTAAGGGCAGGAGAGAGATATGGGGAAAGAAAAGCATCCTTTGAGTGATTTTTAACATTTAACTCTAATTTTCTGAACATTGACCAGATTTGTGACAACGTATTAGCACAATACATGGAGGGGGATCTTAACAAAGTTCCTGGAATGCGTGTATATTAAAAAAAAAAATAGTACATATAGCTTGCCAAATGTCTGGACAAAAATAAGCTTATCTTATAATTCCCTTTTCCATGAAGTTTTGAAATAGCCCTATGGGTCTTGTTTGTACAAGGTATTTTGTGTGAGGTCGCATGAGATTCATCCTGTGACTTTTGCTGTACTTCTTGCATTGCTGTGGCTTGTCAAGCCCGAGACAAGTTCTGGCTTCCATATTCTTGCTCTGAAAACTTTGAAAGATGCTTTACCCCTTCCTGCACTATCAGCTCCTTTTAGGATTTCAGGTAATATAGTAGAACAAATTGAGGTCCGTCCTAGGGATGTGACAAAGGCATCACGAGCTACATATGACACTGCCCAGCCAGTAGAGAGGGGATTGCCGTCCTTGTCAGGGGCCCAGCAAGGCACTGGGGCCAGATGGAAGAGCAAGAGCCCAGACTGTGCAAGTGCTGTCACTTGCAGCCCCATGGAAGGGGGCAGGGTAATGCTGTTGCTGAAGCCATGTCTCAGGGGCTGTGAGATGGCCCCTGAGGCTTAGCATCATCATGGGGCAGGCTGGACAGCTGCTGCTTCCCAGTCCTGCTGTGTGCCTGGGTTTCAGGTTCAGTCAAAACTCTCTGATTAACCAACAGCCAGCCAGCCCTGGCATTTGCTGCACACAGTTACCAAAGAAATGCAGAGTCCTTATCTTTAAAGACATTCACAGACTAGGAGGAGGCAATAAAGTGCCCCATGGGCACCCATTTTCAAGAAGATGCAAAAATAGAATCAGTCCGCCCATCTCTGGCTCACATGGGAAGCTGTGTACTCTTAAAAAGCGTAAAAGTGATTCTTGTCCGCCTTTTCATTTGCTAAGTGAATTTTCTTCCTGAAAGAATCCTGAAGGACGATCTCTGCTTACCCCCTTTCTGAAGTCCTCATGTTCCAAATGAAGACGATTTGAGTTTGTGTACACTGCCTGGATGTCCAGTGCCGTGACATCTTTCCACCCTTACTAACTGAGCCTGATTCCTCTGTTCAGTTTGAGTGGCGTTGAAATTCCTCCTGTTATTCTGCCTCTGAAGCCTCCTGGGCCTCAGGGATGTGATCTGCCTCGAGCCTGTGCTCATCTAATGGGCACATGTGCAAGGTGCCTGGAGCAATACTGGTGACATGAGGTTGTATTCACAGCCCTGGACATTTGTGTTAGGCACCAAACAGAGAGCCACAGGGCTCTGGGAACTCTTTCTGATTTTGGCCTGCCTTCCTGAGGATCCTACAGAGGGCTTGTTGGTTCTTGGCTCACTCTAGGCTAAGCTGAACTTGTGATTCTGCCCCTTATCAGCTGTGCATGTATGGAGAATTTTCTTAACTTTTTTTTCCTTAGCTTTGACTCTCAGTAGGATCATCTGTAAAATGGGGATGGTACTAAGAGGAAATCTTAGAAAACTGCTCTGTGAGCTAATGAGATGCATGATGCTGTTAAAGTGCTCTGTGTAGGATCAGGGTCGGCATCTTACTAAGTAGTATCTTGTTCTTGCGGTTGTTCTCTCATGTCGTCCCTTTTGCTATCCCCGGTGTCAGGTTCCTTGCTATGTAGGCGTTTCTTTGTATTTGACTGTTGTACATGACCTCAAGTCAAGCAATCTGCATCCTAGGATGCCATGCGTCCCCCACCCTCCACCCCCCCAATGTCTGTGAAATACAGTAAAAAGGAATTGACGCATGATGTGATTCCCATTCTGGCATTGAATGACTTTTCCCACTTTTATTTGACTTCTATAGAGTATTTTTGTGAAGGGCCAATGTTATGTTTGCCTAGAAAGATATAGATTAGGGTAGAAGTTGGTGGCTTTTCAGTACATTGTTTAGCTTGATACAGGTCACATCAGAACTGTACTGGTCACCTCTTCTCCTTGGTTTCGCTTTCCAAGGATTCAGTCTACAAATACTGAATGAAAAATTTCAAAAATAAAGAATTAAGAAACTTTAGATGATGTAATATTCTGAGTACTGTGATCTAGATCTCACACTGGCAGGCTACATCCCATATGGGACTTGAATCACTCCCTCTATCCAGTGTATTCACACTATATTCCCTACCTGTCAGTTAGTGTCTTTGTGGCCTTCTTGGCTATCAAGTCAACTGTTGGAATACTGCAGTGCTTGTGTTCAAATAACCTTTATTTAACTTAACAGCTCCCAAGCAAAAGAACAATGTTGGTAATTCAGATATGCCAAAGAGAAACCGTAGGCACTTTCTTTTAGTAAACGTTAAACATTCTGAATTTAAGAAAAAAAATTCGTATGTAGAGGTTGCTAAGACCTATGATACAATAAAGTATTTTGAGAGAAAACCATTCATATAACTTTTATTACAGTATATTGTTATAATTCATATTTCATTAGTTGCTAATTTCTTACTGTGCCTAACCTGGAAATTAGACTTCATCATACATTTATATGTATAGGTAACTCAGTGTATATAGAGGGTCAGTATTTTCTGTAGTTTCAACATCCAATGGCGGCAGGGGGAGGGGTGTGGGAGAGTGCTAGAATGAAAACCTCTTGATTCAGGGTGTGAAGGGACCACTGACTGTAAATGTGGTTGCCTGGCAGCCATCATCTCTGATGATTTGCTCCTTGGGTTCTTTGAAGACACATGTATTGTTTTCATTGCTACTTTTCCTCTTCTTTTTTTTTTTCATGAAGAGAGCTAACCTCTGTCAGCCTCCACTCTGAGTTGACTTGTGATTTTTTTCCAAAAGTTACTTCATCCTTCAAAGTGTGCATTTTTGCTTCTGTAGAATGGAAATAGCCATTGAGTTGGTTTCACTGTATTGTTGCAGACTCAGTGATGTGATGTGATTCTTAGCGTAGAATGTGTGTGTGAGTAAGGAGCCCCATGTGGACTGGCTTGCTCGGTGAGAATGACTTCAGGGCTCAGCAAGACCAGAACTGAGCAATCCTATAGGACTAATTTGCTGTCTTCTCCAACACAAGCTCAGACTTGCCTGGCGTGATGATGGGAGACAGGATGAGTAGACAGGCCCTGAGAAAGCTCTAAGGGAGTCTGCGAGAACACTGAAGCTCCGAGCCTTTGCAGTGAATTTGTCCCTGTGAGAACCTAATCTCTAAGTCATGTGTCTTTTTAGTCTGATGCTAATCAGACACGCCATCTGGTTGTGTGTAAACTGCTGTAGGATCCACATTGCTCACTTTTCTCTTCAGTTCCCAAAACAAACAGGGAGAAAGAGTGAAAGAGAGAGAGAGAGTAAGAGTGCTAGTAGAGATTTGGAAACGTGTCCAATATTTATTTGCAGCTAGTGGGCTCTTTCTTTTTTTTAAATTGGAAACTATTTTGAGAAGCTGTTTGTGAACCACAAAGCATCTGGCTTTCTTTTTATCAAGATGTAGCTGCCCTCTCTGCTTCCCTCCTCCCCCATCAACTTCTTATCTGTCATCCACACAGCCTGGAGC